CTCAATCTACGCCACTTACGGGCACTAGTCGGTAAGACCAGTTCTCTAGCTTTAATAGGAGAGCGTAAACAAAGATGATCTGAACCGCGAAGTTCAGACGTTCGTCAGGATTCCTTGACACCAGTTAATCAAACTTATTATACGCGGATTAACACGCGTTTCGATCTGATTCGGAATAAATTGAGGAGACATTCTTATAAAATAAAACAAGAGTAAATTTAATAAATCTCAAACAAACGAATACAAAAATTCGATTACAACCATTTAGCGACAAACTAGAGGCTACGACTTAATCTATGCTAATGCGCGAGTGAGAGAGAGAGCTCACAAAATGATTCTAAACATACGACCTGTTTAGTTTTCGTCGTCTTCGTTGCTGTAGGTAAAGGACACCTTGTAAAAAGAGTTCATATTACTTTCGAAAGGGAGATCAATTCGTGCACAAAATATAAAAATACCACTTCTTCTAAGGGTAGACTCGGGACTTAGTCTATCGGACTCCGCTATGGGCGTTGGCCATCAGGAGGGAAACGTGTGTGGAGTTTGTATGCTTCGGATCTGTCGAAGAACTCCTCGAATTTGGACTAGATTTCCCTTATATCTCCTGAATTTCGACCAATCATCGTCCAGTAACTCTTTCGTGAGAACGGACGAAAGGGGGAATGAATGAGGGGTAACCATTTCCCATCTGAGCGAGATTTTTAACCAGATACGGAAAAACAGAGGATGTTCTGTTCGATGAAAGGAAATAACATTTGTTATCTGGTTTTTTCCCACGTCTAAAACAATATTTTTTTCACAAAAACGAAGTAATATTTCATGTCAATATTTAAACATATTTAATAAAAATTCATAAATTAGACCCAGGGCCTTTCGGATCTCACACAAAGATGTAAACGAGAAACGTGCATTTGAACGTACATATTTTCGAATTGATGTTTTACGAGCTGCATTTCCATCAGAGATTCAAAAATACCTGAAGAAGAACCGTTGTTGGGGTTCAAAAATGTTAGTAAAGAGCTATTTTTTTGTTATTTACAATTTTATAGAAGAAGGAAAATGCACCGGTAACAAGTTAGGAAGAGTTTTTGTTAAATTTTATATATATATATATTTTAATAGTAAAAATTGTCAAGAGAACTTTTATTGTTTCAAATTGCATAATGTATAATGCAAAATATATTTATAATTCAGAATTATAAAATTAAATTACAGTGAAGTATTGAAAATTCAAATTAATTGGATCCTGTCCAAATTTTCAAGTATACATGTAAAGTAGTATTTTAAACTGTAAAGTTTAAATGTTCTAAGTTCAAGCCAATATTTCACAAGGAATGTAAGAATGCTTACAAAGACTCGTAATTTTGATTTACAGAATCATTATATTTAAATCAAAAATATACTAATTATAATTTTGTTTTTGATGTTCTAATAATTATAAATATTAGAACATCAACAGCATAAGCCTGAAAGAACATCAATGCTGAAGTTACCATTGAAAGAGGTTAATATATATTTTTCAACAGCTGAATCTGGATTTTCAACACTTTACTGTAATTAATATTCAAATATTAATTCTGCTATTAACCAGCTAAAAATATTAAGTTACTTAATGTTTGATATAACTTTTTTATGTAAATATTTCAGATCACCATGGAGTAATGCATATGATCCTCCTCTGGAAGATGGTGCAATGCCTTCAGACAGGTTAAGAAAACTGGAAATAGATGCAAATCAAGCATTTGATCAATATAGAGAAATGTACTTTGAGGGTGGGGTCTCTTCTGTGTATTTATGGGATCTTGATCATGGTTTTGCTGGTGTCATTCTTATTAAGAAAGCTGGAGATGGTTCAAAGAAAATTAAAGGTTGCTGGGATTCAATCCATGTGGTAGAAGTGCAGGTATTTATATTTTAACTCAGTTTTAAATTGACTGTATTTTTATGTTTTCATTGCTACCTCTTTCCATCCTGTGGGCACTAAGAGGGCCATTTTAATCATACCCATCATAAATCAATACTACAATGGTATAGCTGCATAATGCAGAACAAAAACCAGACATATTCAGAACACACTCACAAAAAATTCCTGGGGTTTGTGCCCAAATTCATTTCCAGATTCTCCAGAGTAGTAGGCTGATGTCTTTACTGTTTTAGCCACTTATCTGTTGAAATACTCCAGGCTGATTCTTTTCTTCTAGAACCTTCTAAATTAATTAATAAATTGAATAAGAGATAGTGCATAATGCTTACCTCTAAGCCAAATTACTTAGTATTTAATTATTAATAGTAGCAGTAATATAGCCCAACCTAATCTAGCAATCATTTGCTCTGAATTAATTTTTCTCATTAGAAATAATGGAAAATAAATTAATCTGTTCCCAGACAATAGCCATTTCAATAAACTTAAACAGCAAACATACATAATTTAACTCTTTAAACACAGAATCGACTTTACCTGTTCAAAACAAAATTGGCTAATAGAAATGTTGTTTGACTGGTTTTGCTATTTAAGTTTCTTTGTAGCCTAAAGGGTAAAAACAATTTGGTCTATAGATACTCAGTAGGAGAAAGTTTTTAGAACTTAAAGACTTAAGGTAAAAATAACACAATTAAATGCTGTAAGTAATAAATTAAAACATTTAAGCAATAAATAAAATAATAATAAAACAAAAATTGCTTTTACAATATCTAAGTGAGGAGTGATCGTGTTCCATTTCTTAAGATCACAATGCACTTGCTTGACTTTCTCACAAATAATCCTTGAAATGATAACACTAGCCAATTGCTTCTCATTTATTCACACTAGGAGGAATTTTTCCATCTCAATAATGTGCAATCTCCTGGAGGTCAATGTTGCACCATTAGCCACATTTGTTGCTTTTATTGCTTTCTTGTTCTTAAGAATGGTGCAAATCATTGACTTTGGCATCTTAAACAAGGCCACCATATCTACCATATGTAGCTTTTTCATGCTTTTTAAGTTTTTCTATTATTGTTGTATTCTTCTATTATCTCAGTTGTCAATACTACAACCTTTCTCTTAGATTCATTGCTTTCACACACTTCTTGGTTGCCATGGTTAAAGGTAGGAGTTATATACCATATTTTTGTGGAATGAACTGCATGATGCATATAAAAGGACAAGACTAGCATGCCAGTTAAACTGCAACTAAAATATAAAATTAATCAGATCTAACAAAACTAGTTGTTAAACAAATGTTAAAGAAAACATTCTTCCCCATACAATAAAATAATAATAATGTAATTTGACTGACTTAAAATCAGGAAGTGTATTTTTCTTTATAAGACAATAAAACAATTAGCAACTTATTGACATTAATAGTAGTAGCAGTTAGTCAGTGTGGACTACCCTGACCTTAAAAATAACACTCTCCTCTCAAATTTCACACTAATCCATTTAAATTGATGTTAGTTAAGATAATTTACAGTGAGTTTCTTAAATTTAATATGTTTATTTTTGTTTTTGAATCAATTTACAATAAAATAAATACAGTAGAGCAGTGTTTTTCAATGGGGGTGTTTCTCAATTTTTTCAAACGACCACATGGGGGCGATATTGCCCCATGTGGTCATTTTTCCATGTTGAGGGGGCGATTAGTAACAATTTATATTTTGGGGGCGAAAAACAATTTTCTGGGCGATGTAGTAAAACATTATATTAAGAATAATTAGATATTTTATTTGTTATATCGTACAATAATTNGAAAAATAAGCAAATAATTTTGTTTATTAATACAATATAATACAAAATACATATAAATTTTTAATTTTTAAAATGTATTTTATCATAAAATAAAGTGAAATGTTTTTATTAAAAAATTTTAGTTTCGGATCTCTTACATTTTTCGGAAAAAAGTAATCATCTTTACTTGTTTACATTTTTTGTTTTCTTTCATTGAGAATTTCGGAATATGGTCGAATGGATGCGATGATGCTTCTTTTTACATTTGTACTTCGCTCCCAATCATTGTCTAACTCACAAAGTTCATCCATCAAACTTTCCATAGTTGAAAGGATACATTAACCCGACGTAGAGCTACAGACGAGTGGAGACATTGATTGGTCGACCACCAGTCGCCGTAGCGCATGTATAAGGTCAGTTTGAACGGGAAAATTCAAGGTTGCTAAGGAGAGATAGATATCGTCTGGCTAATAAAAAAGTATCGTCTGGCCAACGAGAAGTAGATTTGTCTCACTAACGATAGTTTATGATTGACGGAAGTGCTACTCGTCGTAAGGTGTTTTCCTAAACGAACTGAATCGGGATACATTCATTGGTGCTATGGATTAGGGCGCCATTTATTGGACTATTAAGTTTGATAACTTGACTCGTGGGTACCTAAACATTTAGTGTTTTAACATTAATTTAATGCAAATGTATACATACCCAATAATATTAAACCGAAAAACTAAATATATTCAATAAAAATCTTTGTTTTAATGAATGTACAATGTCGCGGCTCGGTAAATACATCAACACTGAAATGAAAATCAGTCTGGCATAGGGGAAATTCGGGGAATTACACCGCGAAACGGCAAATTGCGTAGCGGCGTTATTGTGAATCGGCATAAACCGAGGATTACCTGTATTAAATTCTGCAATTTATCACAGAGTATGATAGTGGTAAGTAGTAAATCTCTACCACAAATTCAATGTTAAAGTGCCAACTTTAACTCTTAATATCTCCATGACCAACAAACTGATTTGGATGAAATTTAAAGTAGTTAGTATTCATGAAGAGTACTTTGGATATCTTAAATTTTGAAAAATTTGTTGTTTAGTTTTGGGCATATGCAATCAGCATTTTGTTGCCTAGATTTATGAGAGAATAGCAACACCACTCTATCAAACAATCCAGAAGGCATCTGCATATGTTTAATAGCTTGTTTGAGAGCTGACCACCTCCTGTTTGCCATTTTGAAAGTTTTGTTATAAGATGTTGAATATTTATAAAATAGTTGTCCATTTCTTAAATTTCAACATATTGATCAATCAGTTATCATATGGCATGACTTACTGCAAGTTATTGCATGAGTGTTGGCTGAATGAATATAGAATTATCATGAAAAGTATTTTATTATGAAGTTATTGATGACTGAAAAATGCTTGAAATCTATTAAAAAAAACTGGTGGAACCAGGTTGAAAAATAAAGCTCATCAAAAACATTTAAATAAAGGAAACTTTTGAAAGTTGTGGTATAAAGATATTGGAGCCAGATTTGACAGTAAGACTGTTGAGTCTTACTGTTAATAGAGTGCACATTACATAGACTACAACTACAGGAAGATTTGGATGAAGCAATATTTCCACAATGATAAACCAGAAAAACAATTATCATTACAAAAAATGGCCTTAAGCTTTACTTTGTGCTTTAAAGTTCTTTCACTAATATTGCTCAAAGGTGCTCTAAGTTCAATGAAATTATTTTAGGTACAACTACTTTAAGGCACTAAGTATAACTCAAAGCCTTTCTCTGTGATGATTATTGTTTTCCTGATTTATTATCATGGTAACATTGCTTCATCCAAAACTTCTTGTAGTTGCAGTCTGTGTAATGTGCACTTTATTTACATATTGAGTCTTACTGTCAAATCTGGTTCCACTATTGTTATGCCACAATTTTCAAAAGTTTCCTTTATTTAAATATTTTTGCAGAGCTTTACTTTTCAATCTGATTCCACCAGTTATTTATGAAATAATTAATACACATCTTCTAAAGTACTTGTGAAGTATTCTATGTAATACTTATAAATTAATGCTTTTATATTAGCTATTTTCAAGTACTCACATTTTTGTAAAACTCAGGAAGAATCATTAAGAAAGTTTAAAGTGGTGAACATTAATTAATGGATTAATTGTACATTCATTCTGCTAGTTCTTTTCTTTGTCTAATGAATAATAGAATATAACAATGTTTATCTTCTAACTAGGAAGATGAATGTTTTATATAATCATTGATAAGTTGCTAACATATATTTTTCAAATACATAAATTAATTTCTCTAAAAGAAATTAAAAAAAAAAATTGTTTTGATAGAATTTAAAGCAAAATAAAAATGAATGAATATTTTTTGAAATAGTTTATCTTCTGATACTAATGATTTAGAATGAAGAACACTGTTATAATAGTAATCAAGTTAAATTTCACAGGTAAAATATTAGGTAAACCATCTCTTATCAACACACTGTAAAATAAACGACTTACTTCTGCTGTAAACCAAAACAGTGCTTATTTCCAAATATTTTCACAAACGTTTTCGAACTTAGTTCTTCTTCAGGTGAATAAATCGGGTAGAATCGATGTTATTCGAAAATCTGAACGTAATGTTCTAAGGAAACTCATGCAATCATCGTATTAAACTTGTGCATGCTCTGTAGATAGAAGGATCGCTTTTGGCTTCTCAAGTGTCGTAAATAAGAGTTTGCCATGCTATCGATAACGATAGTTCATCCTTATTGTTTATACACTCGTTTTCTCTTGCTGTTTTATATATCGCTTCCATCCAGTGCAAATGTTGCAGAAAGTAATGTCGTTTCTGCACATGTCAATACTTGTTTATCATTTATCAGCTCATTGTGTACTTCAAAGCCATGCGAAAAACATTTTAAAGTTAAAGTGACTTGTTTACTTGTAAATAATTAAATCTTAAATTTTTGTTTGCAATTTTTGGTGAAATGGCCAGCCAAATACCAGAAGAGGTACATATCTGGCATTGTATGCTTTTTGAGTTTCACAAGAGTAGTAATGCAACAGTTGCTACCAAAAACATTTGTGATGTTTATCCAAGTGCATTAGACATTCGTAAATGCCAAAGGTGGTTTTCTAAATTTAGATCCAAGTGATCTATTGTTTATTTTCTTTTGTTTTTTCAGATTCA